AGGAGAGATTGCCTCGCTCGGAGGGTCCGAATAAATATACAGTCCTGAATAAATAATTACAGTCCAAATAATTACAAAATGCCTTCTAATTAATTAACAAATTAAATTAGGAAAGCAATAAATTGGCATGCAAGCCAGGGACTGCCTCAAATCTGCTCCGGATGATGAATGATGCATGCTCCGGTTGGCTTTGTCGGAAAATCCCTTGTGATGCCCCGGTTTGCCTCTGTTTGCAATTGTTCTTGGAATGCGTGCCAAGCTCCGGAAGGCTGTCGATTTCTGATTTGCTGCAACAGAGAGCAACAAAGGGACATGACAAAGTATTTTCACATTTGTATGCATGATTACTCTTCAGGGAGTGTAGTCCTCGATCCTCGTGTCACCAAACACGCATCTCGATGCATGATGGCCGGGGAGTCGAATTGCATGGCTCAATATGGAATGAATGCACATGAAAACACAACAGGGCCTAGACTCCATCATTGATAATCCGGAGTGTCGGCGACCAGGAATTGAGATACGTTCCGTCACTCGTAGTACGAAACGTACTTCGTTTTTCGTGCTCGGGCTAACTCCTATCCCAAACACAATGCAATATGCATGACATGCATGAATGCAACTAATATACAACCTAGCATGCACAATGCTATGAAATGGCATACACGATGCACGAGGTAACATGGCATACACAATGCGCTAACATACAACCTAGCATACACAATGCTATGAAATGAAATGGCATACACAATGCGCAATGGACTTACACCAACATGAGTGGATCTCAGCCACACTCACATCGGTAGCCATGAGATGCAAAATGAGACACTCGAAATGCGTGCAAACATGCATGCAAACCGAGGACCGAACCCAAGGCATAGCATGCAATACTAACAAGGCATGGCAAGGCATGAAGCATGGTATGCAAACATGCAAATTTCAGTGCTGAAATATGATGCAAAACAGCCCCGAAACATGGAAACATGGCACCCGATGCATGGAATGAACTCGAAACACAAAACTAGGCATATGCATTGGCCTATAGCTATACAAAACATGCATTATTTGATTATGAAGTATGAAGACAGAAGCAAGGCAGTCCCAAAACATGTATATTTCCAGTTTATAACAAGTCCCAAAAATGAATGCAAATAGGGCTAATCTATCATGCAAGAAAAGGCCTAAAATAGAGATTAAACACAAAGGGACAGCAGCTGGCCCCAAACAAAGAAGAGCCCTTCAACAAAGTTGAAGAGGGGCTCAAAATAATGCATTTTACAGTTTATGATCAAGTCCAAAACAGTGCACAAGTAAGCTTAAAACACTATGCAAAAATAGGCCTAAAAGAAGGTTTAAACACAAAGAGCAAAAAGGGAGCCTCAAACAGCAAAGGACCCTTGATCAAACATGAAGAGGGGGTCAAAATATGACTCTTTACAGTTCGGGTCGGAGCCCAAAAATACAAGCACAAGGAGCTAAAAAAACATGCAAACAAAGGGGCCAAAAGAGGGATAAAGAGGCAAGTGATAGAGGGAAGTCCCAAACAGTGAAGAGGCCCTTCAACAAAGTTGAAAAGGGGCTCAAAATAAGGCAACTCACAGTTTATAGCAAAGCTCGAAACAGTTTACAAATAGGCCTAAAATATTACTCAAGAAAGAGGCCTAAAAGAGGCTTTTAACACAAAAGTGTAAAAAAGAAACCTCAAACAGGGAGAAGCCCTTAATCAAACTTGAAATAGAGCTTAAAATAAGACTATTTTCAATTAGGGTCGGAGCCCAAATATGCGAGCACAAGGGGCTAGAATATAGATCAAAATAAAGCAAGAAAAGAGGAAAAGAAGACTTACCCTTGAAGAACCAATCTTTGACAGCCTTTGGACCAAGTTTGGGGACTCTTAAGCTCTGGAAATGGCCTTCAAGCTGCTGGAATGGAGTGAGGAGGAGGGGTGCTATGGGTTGTAGAGTAAAGGGTGTAGGAATGGTCCAAGAACAAAAGGGCTTTGATGTTTGGAATAGAAGGGAAGAGGGATTGAATGCAAGAGGCTTAGAACCAATTTTTGTAACCCTGAAAACATAGCTGGAGGTGCTGGTTATATAGGCAAAGGAGTGGAGGAAAAAGGGGGGGAAATGAAATTCAAATTTTCCCCCAAAAATAGGCCTAAAAGAGAGATAAAGAGGCAAGTGGTAGCTGCTGGCCTCAAACCGAAGAGAGCCCTTCAACAAAGTTGAAGAGGGGCTCAAAACAAGACATTTTACAGTTTACATCAAGCAACGAAACAGCTCACAAATAAGCCTAAAATACCATGCAAAAATAGGCCTAAATGAGAGTTAAAGAGGCAAGTGATAGTAGGAGACCTCAAACAGCAAAAGGTCCTTAATCAAAAATGAAAAAGAGCTCAAAATATGACTATTTACAGTTTGGGTCGGAGCCCAAAAATGCTTGCAAGCAAGGCTTAGATATAGAGCAAGATAGGAACAAAAAAAGAGGGAAAAGAAGCTTACCGTTGAAGACCAATGGACCAGCAACTCTTAGTCTGAGAAATGGTGCTCCTAAGCTCTGAAAAACAGCTCCAAGTTGTTGGAATGGATGGTGGTGGGGTGTATACCAAAAACCAAGGCAAACGGAGGTGGTTAAATGGAGGCACACGGTCGTCGGCTCCGAAAAACCGAAAACCAGGCTCCAAACGGGAAAAATGGCCTACGACCACGAAACGTAACCTACGGCCATTGAGAGATGATCTACGAGACCTCTCCCTCCCTTCGGGAAGAGAAAACGGAGCCTGGTTCGCAAATCGAGGCAAGACACGAAAGAGCCCGGAAGTCCGAAGGCAAGGCTCGCAGCCGAGACTCTGAAACTTCTGAACGAGCACAATATGCACCATCACCGAGCACTCAATCGGTGACGTCTGAGTCTTAAGGTCAGTCAAAAATGTGGTGTCTATAGAAATTTATTTAGAACATCCAAACTAGGCCTAAATTCGAGCATGTCTGAATACTATCTCATTAGCCTAATTTCAAAAGCAGCACTCAATATAGCTCGGAAAGCTAATCTTTATTCTCAAAATTTAATAAGTTAATTTCTGGTTACAAAATACTTGATTGTTTACATTTTTCAATTATAAAATCCAAGTAACATCTAACATAAGCCCAAAATTGTTGATTTGTTGAAAAGAAAATTTTATAGTACACTATATGCCAAATTATGATTTTGTGGTCTTTTGGTTAATTCCTATGTTATGACTTGGGCATGACTGGTGTTTGTGACCTATTGTGAGTAGGGAAATGATATTGAAGTCTGTTTTTTAGACTTATTTTTTAGATGCAATGATGTATGGAAGAGATGATTGGTGATGATTAGACACTATTGTGATTATTATTTTGTTGGTTATGACTTATAATGATCATTATGGTTATAATAAAAAATGACTTTGGATATATTTTTATATGGTGTTTGGTTGTGACATTATTTTTTTGAGTTACGATTGAAAATGATTTAGTTAGGGCATTTATGGTAACTAATATGAAAAATGTATATATGGTAAGGCTCTGTATTCTAGAATGATCCCATTGTAAGTACCACTACTATTGTAGATGGTTCAAATGTTAGAGATTGTTGGTTCAGATGTTGTCTAATTGTGCACATAATGTAATTTTAGAGGTTCAGTTGTACTATGATGATGTGCGGGGGCTGGTTTATATTTGTGTTTTTGGTTAGGGTTGGAATGTGTGGTGGTTTGGAGGTTGGTCCCTTACAATTGTAATTTAGTCAAAATGTCAATTGTAAATTAGTATAAAGCGCAAGGGTTGGTGGTGGCTGCATGTTGTGACTTTAAATCTCAGATGTGGGTTCATGGATTTTGTTTCAGCAGCGCTGCAGCAGAGATTCTTGAGTTAGCGGATGAATTTTAGCGGCTTGATCATTTGAAGGAATAAGTTCATGCATTGCAAAAAAGATTTTTTTTCCGTCATGTTGATGCAGGGGAGAGGAGACAGTACTTTCTTTTGTGGTGAACTCATAATTTTTTTTTGCTATTGCTTTAATGCTGCTTATTTCTTTAGCTAATGTGGCAGATTTTGAATTGCATTGGTTCTGACTTTGGGATTGAGCATGTCTAATTTAAATCTTGATTCTTCATGTGTAGATTTTGTGGTGTTGAATATATTTTTTTTGGCAGATGTTGGGAGTCATTTATACTAGTGTTTCTTGAGGGTATGTGTGAACTCTGTTATTGAAAATTGTCACATTGATTGTAGAGAATAAATTCTTTGTAGTTTTGAAAAATGCCGGAGATTCCCATTTTTTTCGATCTCCACTATGAAACCTTCTTGTGTGTGTGTGGGGTCCACTCCATCAATGGTAGAGATTCAAAGGGAGTTGTGCGGGTCTCCAAAAAATAAGGGTCTCATTCGTCGTTGTATTTTTTATTTTACCGTAGGGTGTGGCCAAATGCATTGTAGGAAGTATAGCGTGCAGTTCAGCATTGTATCTGTTTGTGTTTGCCATTTGTTGTATTTACTTCATATGTTGTTGTGCTGATCCCCAGGAGGCTTGAATTGGAAGTGTTTTTGGGTCATCTCACTTATGAGATAGATTTCTAGAGTTTGCTTCTGACACGCCATGTTTGCTAAAGTGTCACAATGCCACAATAAGGTATTTCTTTACTCAACAAGAATTAGGAATCTGTCTGGTCTTTGTAGCTGTTTTGGATAAAAATTTGAGTAAGTAATTGTGAAGAGGGGTAGGTAAAGGTCTAAAAAGTTTTAGGTTCTACATGATTGGTTTTCCTTCTGTCTTTATTTCTCTACACGAATTTTTCTACAAATAGTAGATCTAAACGAACTTTAATGCTGTCTGAGAGCATCTCTAATGATGCATCAAAATTTTTACCAAATTTGAGGAAAAGCTGTTTTTGGTTATCACCTATGTCAACGGAGAGTTTTGTTTTTTCATGAAATCACTTGACGATCGGGCGGATGACTGGTCAATGTAAAATTTATGCAAAATATTGTTTTGAGGTGGTCATAGGGGGACATCCGGTGGTGAAAATATAACGGCAATGAATAGTAATTTGATGAAAAGAACATAGCATTTTCAGTCGGGTAAAACATTTTGGATTATATTTTTGGTTTTTCAATTTGATATCTATTTTATGAAACCATTGGAGTAGAAAAAATGGATATTTTCTATCAAATTTGAATTTGGTGATGGATTTAATACACGGTTAGAGATGGCTTTGTGAATATATTTTGCAGATGGCCATATGAATCATTTTTTGGTGAAAACTATCTGTTTTGTTAATGATACTGGTTTGATGGGAACTCTTTCATTATTTTATTTAGCATCGTCGACCTCACACTTTTTAGTAATTCATTTATTAAATTATGAGAACGTTATCCTTTTATTCAGTGAGAACATTATCATTTTATTTAGTTTTGCAGCTGGTTGAAGCTATTGTGGTCCGTGCCGCAATTTTATCTTGTTAGCCTTTTTAAATTAAATTTAAATTTTCTTTTTTGATTGTAGAACGGTGGAATATGTGGTGTGTTTGTCAATGTCTTGGTTGAACTATGATATATATACATGCCAAAGGTTAGTTTGAAGATTAAGATGCCTGGTAAATTGTTAAAGAAGCCAACTATTTTAAAGACAATAGAAAGATTACCATATTATTTGTGTCTTTTTTGGACTATAGTAATTTTAAATGTCATCAAGTGTTTTATGCTTTGGAAAGAATGTGTGTATATATATTGTTTTTTTTGGTTTTTCTTTTATAATTAAAATAATATAAATTTATAATTAGTATTTTACAAATAGGTGGGTAGGTCTGGATTTGTTGAAGTGTTTAAAACATATTTGGTTGGAATTGCCACATCAGTAAAGGGCCACCCCTAGCGTAATATTTGTGCAGCTACACCTGCATGCAATAAAATGGAGATTTTTAAAAACTTACTAAATACTAAAAATATAAAAACATACAAGAATTTAGTATATTTTTTGTTATATTTTTATGTATTTATTAATTTTTTAAAATATTTTTTCACGAATGTTTTAAATATAAGCAGTGTTTGAAAACACAATGTTTACGTAACGGGGGTTAGTGGTTTACTACTATTTTGAAATTGGGTTGAGAAGTATCTAATTAATTCTATAGTCATACTAATAAATCTTCAAGTTGTAGTATGGCTAGCTGTAAGGCTTCTTGTTTTATAGTTATCTATTTATTTATTTGTGTGATTTTCAAATTATAATGTTCTAGAGAGATCTACAAGAAGCTAAATGGTAACAAAAATTGATATTTTAATTTTTGATCTTCTAATTTTTGTATAAGCTCAGTACTGGATCTGATTTTAGTTCTAAGTTCTTCTAAAAGCATAAAATATTGACTTTAAAATTTTTTATATGAAAAATATTTTCTTGATATTTCTACTCATGTTGCTCTTCTTATATTCTAAAATTCTTTTTCTTTGGCAAAACTATTTTTAGGCAATTTTGTACTCTCACCTTGAAGCTAAGTCTTGTTCAACATAATATATTTTTATTTTTTATTCTTTACCTTTACCTTTCTGCTTACAATTTGCCCTCAAACGCTTAATCACAGCTTACAAGGGTTTTTCAGTTAAGGTCACTCGGTAATAAAATAGAAAACAACAGATACTATGAAAGTTCAAATAGTAATGAGTAAGCAAGTATTTCATAAACTTAGTTTTTCCAAAAATAAATAAATTTTAGAACAGAAGAGTTGCCATTTTGAAATATGTAAGGAAAAAGGAAGGCTACTCACACTTCATATTTATATGTAATATACTTACAAAGATTATGTTACAGATTTTGAGATTTTGAAAGACTTGGAATACTTAGAATTTTTGAGAGTTTGAGAAGTTGGAGAGGATTTTTGCAAAGAAGGGAAATTTTTTATTGCTTCTTTTGTTGGCATGAATGCCAATTTATACACATATTTGATAGATACAAACAAACCTAAGGATTTATCCATATGTCAAATCTTTGAAGCAGAAGTCCAAGAGTCTAGGTAGACTTAGCTATAGACTTTACAAAATTTTTATGCAATAAATGCATGGACTTTGACACCTACTATACTAGATACGGATAATAAAATTTTATAAATAAAATGTTAGGACAATGATATCGGGTATTGCTTTGGATCCTATCGCATATCATTCAATCCTCTTTTTTTTGATAAAGTTGACACTATAATTTATTACAAGGCACATGTAAGGATTTTCATAGCTTTTCTTTAATGGAGCAGGGTAGTATAAAGATTTTCACAGCTTTTCTTTAATAAAGCAGGATAAGAATATCCACTTTATTAAAGTAGTGAGTGAAGGAAAATCCTTATCACTAACAGACTCAAATAATTACAGACACAAAATATTTGCAAAATCTTTTTTGTCTTTTCTTTGGCGTGCATTTTTTCTAATTTCTGAGGAGAATCCTTATCTTCTATGGATTTTGTCTTCTTTTGCTGGAGCGCCAATTATTGATGTCGACCCTTGGAGTGATTCTTTCAAGGTTGGGTCTTCGTGGAAAATTTTCAAAATGTAAAGAGTCAAGAAATAATCTACTACAACATGTTTAAAATATATTATGAGTCTTGTAGTGGGACCCCCTTTTTTTTTTTTTTAACCCATACATTCTATCTGAAAGGTCTTTAAGATCTGTTGTCGAGAGTTGATTGTAAAAATCGTCTCTATTATTTGGTTCATTTTCCCATTGGTTATTCCTTCTCCCATTACTGGTGAGTCATGAGAGGCACTATGCCAATAGTTAGGGTACAGACTTCTCATCTATAAATGTTTCTTTGCTGAAGGGAAAACCTGGAATGGCTAAATTACAGTATATCTTTTGATTTCTATCTTCACAAACTAGATGACCATAATTTTCATTATACGCTAATAGAGGATTATTAGCAAATTTTCTCCATTTATAAAGCTGATCTCTAAGTGAAAATCTTTTACATGGCCAGGGTCTCCAATTAACAAGTGCTGGGTATCCTGGAAATATTGAAGTTCCTCTAAGGTACATTTCATGCTTGGTGGGAATGCACCTTATTCCTTTCCATTCTAGTAGCTTGCTATCAATTAACGTTTCTGCGAAAGGATGGTGCTCTTCCATTACACAAAGTCCTGAATGAGCAAGTTTATTTTCAAAATTATGTCTGATTTGGATCTGAAAAAATTAATTTAGCCATAATCTAACATTTTAGGTGCTATTAGATAACGTGTTTTGCCTCAATTTCTATCTCCAATGGCTTGAACGTTGCTAGATTTATTTGGCAAAGGCAGATGCTGAAATCTAAATTACATTGACATTTATCAAAATACTTTGGCCTGTCTATATATCTTTCCTCTTGAAGACAGGGTTGTTCTTCATTCTCGTAGAGATAAGTCCACTGATACGCCATACTAGGGCATTGAACTCCTGCTATGGAGAGGTCCTAAAGAAACTACTGTATAGTGACTAATTCACTATTTCTGCTATCTTCGGCTAAGGTGTATATATAGGATTTAAGGTCTTTCATTTCTTGGCTTTTCTCACAAAAAGATTGAATGATAAAATGCTTGAAGAAATACATTCTAGCACTCAATTGTTCAAATTCTTCACTAGTGAGTTGTCTGATTTTTGGGTTAAGAAATGGAGTAGGTGTTTTTTCTGGAGCTAGTTTTTTAAGCTAGTTGGTTAGGGTTCGAATGGTAGTTCTCAATTGTTTTTCTTCGTCTTGGAACTGGTTTAGCTCTTCACTGACTTTTTTGCCTTTATCCATAATTTTTTGGAAATTTCTGGTAAGGCCTTCACAATGTCTGCACGTTTGAAGAGGATTTTGAGAATCTGGCTGAGGGTTAGTACTACTGCTTCCTATTATCTGGCTGACTAGAACTCCATTAGTAGCAAGAATGGTTGATTGCATCTTGCCCAATGTGTCCAAATAATCTTTAGCTATTTGGTTGATAAAATAACTGGTTCCTATCTGTCTGCGGGCATAGGTACTGGCTGACTCGAAATCATAAAATCTTTTAAACTGAGGTATGGAAAAAATTTTAACTAAATGTTCCAACTTCTACCCAATCATGGTAAATACCAGGCTTGGTTCCTTTAGCCATTACATAAAAAGAAAAGCTTTTGGACAAAAGGTTTATTCTGGATTTTTGAGAAATATATACTAAGAGAGTTTAAGGCTGACAGACGTTTAGTTGGGTGGTTATGGTTGTTCCAAAAGTTATCTAAAAGACAGTGTTGAACTGCGTCAAGAGCGATTCCTGTTAATGGTCTGAATTTGTTTCTGCTTTCATAAATGGGAAGGGCAAATCTTCCAAAGTTCATTGTTTTGTTATTCTCCATTATCTGCACAAAAAATAAACTAGTTTTTTTTTTTTCTAAATAAATCTTTTTGCTTAGTCAATTTGTTAATTTATTATCACTTCTTTTAATATGTTCAAATTTTACCTTATATCCTTGACCTACTATACAATTTAAAAATTTTGCCCATTTTCTGGTACTTAGTTTATGCTCATTAAGTTTATTATGAAATCTAATTATAGCTTCACAGTCTGTTCTAATCGTAAAAGGCTTGTGTAAAAATAATCTAAATTTGTTTATTGCATATACTATTCTTAATATTTCAAAATCTAGGCTGGTCATAGTTGTATTTTTTTTAAAAAAAAATTCCAAAATTATATTTACAAATGCGCTCTTTACTTTTACTATTATACTTACTAGGTTTAGCTAATGATACTATTTCCCATCCTAATTGACTTGCATATGTTTCTACAACTATATATTTTGATTTTTAGGAAAGTTGTAGATCGGGTAAATTTCTACAAATATCTTTAATTTTTCTTATTAGAGGTATATGTTGTTGATTAAAATATTTTTGTCCTGTGGGTGTAGTCTTACTGTATAAAGGTTTTATTATTTTACTAAGGTTAGGAATGTACATTCTTGTATAATTTAAAATTCCTAGAAATGATTGAAGTAGTTTTGTATCTTCTAATTTATCGGGGTAATCTAAAATTTTCTTAACTATGTGGTTTTATAACCTAATTTTTCCATCTAATTCCATTCCTAAAAATTCTATATGGGGTTTATTTAATACCATTGTTCTCTTATTATTATTCCATTGTTTATGAATTCCTTTAATACTATATATAAATGATCTATGTAATTATTTTTATCTGGGCTAAATACTAATATGTCCTCTATATATATTAGTATAAAACTCTATTTATTGAATATACTATTCATCTTATGTTGAAATATGGAAGGTACAATTTTTAGTCCAAAAGGCATGACTAGCCATTCATAATGTCCTTATGGGCAACAAAAGGCTGTCCATGGTATGTTTTTGTTTTCCATTTTTATCTGCCAAAATCCTAATTTGCAATCAAATTTGCTAAATATTTTTGCTGTATGTATTCTATTTATAAGCTAATCTTTATTTGGAATATTATATTTATCATGCTCTTTATTATCATTTAATCTTTTATAATTTATAACCATTCTAGTTTCCCTCTTTTTATTTCTGCATGATTTTTAACCATAAATGCAGTGCTCCTATGTGGGCTATTATTAGGTCGAATTACTCCTAAATCTAATAATTCCCTAATCTGTGTCCTAAATTTTTCTATATCTGCTGGCGTATGATGTAACGCCCTCAAAATAAACCCATAATATATATAACATTAACATGCATTAATAAAAGAAAACCAACCATTATACCATTCATCGCTCCTATGTGGGCTATTATTAGGTCGAATTACTCCTAAATCTAATAATTCCCTAATCTGTGTCCTAAATTTTTCTATATCTGCTGGCGTATGATCTATTTGTGCTGGTGTAATCCTACAATCTTTATTTTTTATATCTAAGCAAGCTAAGACTTTATTTCTTTCCCAGTATTTCATAGATTGTTCTCTTAAAATTTCTGTTAAATTAGCTAATCTTATTATTTTATCTAAATCAGTTTTTGTTCTTCTGTATACTGGTTTTTTCTTTAATTTTCCTATTTTTGCAAAAATTAACTCTAGATTAACAGCTGGTTGAAAATCTTCTAAGTTCTAATAGTCTCATTTTTGTTCAAAATCTTCTATGTCTTCTAATTCAAAATCTTCTACTTCTAAATTTTTTAAGGAGGTTTTAGCTATTTCTTCATTTGGTATGTATTTTTAGGCTCGTTCGGGAAAAATATTTCTACTAAGAAATAAAAAAATTAGTTGGAACTGAATCTACTCCTATGGTATCACCACGCTTCGCATGCAACTCTAATGAATGGGCGATGGTGCTAAAGGCATATGCTGTGGAGGAATGTATGGTTCGTTTGAAGAAGCTAATGCTGCTATGGCTGATAAACATGCCACCTTGTAGACTAAGGATGAAATTAAGTCCTAATATAAAGGGATGGTTTTGTCGAGTATTGCCAATCCAAACTTGGGGTAAAGGAAACCATTTTATATGTTGAGTTTGAGATCCTATGTGATGAAAACTGATTTGCGCTCCATTGATGCAATGTGTATATGTCTGTTTAGTGTCATCGGTTATGCTAACTAAAGCTGGGATTGTTAAAGCTGTGCTCCATCCTGGTGGAATTATGTGTTGTTCAATATATGATTTACTGGCTCTTGTATCTATGATGGCATCTATATTAAGGGTTTTTTCTGCGAATTTAATGACATAAGAAATCTCAACTAAATTTGACTTCGGTATAACAGGGTAATGAAATGGTAAATATGTATTATCTGACAGTGTTTGGGAGTATTGACTAAGGGTTTGAGAATCAACTAGGTTGAATTCATATGTTTTTCAACAAGTTTATCTTTTACGGGGTATTTATTATGAAATTGTTCTAACTGCTGTCCAAGCTGTTTATTTTCTACTTCTAAACATTCTATGTCAAAACTAGCCTTAGTTTCTATCTCACGTATTTGAAGTTTAAGTTCTCTTACTTTTACCTCTAATTCTCTAATAGTTAAGTGTAATTCTCTGTTTTCTATACTACAATCTTCTAGTATTTTTTCGTTAGTTTCTAATGTTATCTTGTGAGTCAAATTTAATTTTTCTAGACAAATTATATAATAGGTTATACTACATAATAAACATTAGGCTCTTTTGCTTTTAGCGGGAAACTAATTGCAATAACTGCATCTAATGGTATCAAATTCTAGTCCTATTTAAAAATTATGCTGACATTCAGCATCTGCATTATATTCCATAATAAAGAAATTGTTATGAGAAGGGGGTATTTTTATTTCTTGGTTAAGTTGTCCTAAAAGATTGTCTATATCTTTATCACTTTTTGAATCACTATCTGAACTTATGGCCTCTATTTGGTATTCATAATCACTGACTATGCTATAGACTTCTAAATCATCGCTAGTTATCCTAACTATATCTTCTTCTAAATCTTTTATAATATGTAGTCTTTCTATCTGTTTATTAGTATTAGGCCTCTGTCTTTTGGGGCAGGTTTTTGCAAAATGATTGAGTTCTCCACATATAAAACAATTACATTTTTTACTATTAGGTTTTCTAACATATATTTGTTTTCTTTAATCTTTCTCTTCTTTAGGTAGTCGATTAGAATTTATCCTATTAAAAGTTCTACTCTTTCTAATGAATTTTTGTTTTTTCCATGGTTTTCTATATTTTTTCTTCCAATATTTTTCTTTTCTGTATTTTTCATATTTTTTCCTTTTATATTTATCTTCATATTGCTGAGGGGTATATATGATGCTACTACAGAAACCATAGTTTTGTTTTTTCAAATCTTTTTGTATTTTAACTTTTATGCATTTTTCTCTGAGCCTATGGAATGTAAAAACTATTCTAGGTCCTATTCTTAAAGTTCCTTTTATGCTTACTTCTCCTGATGCTATTTTTGCTAATAAGTTTGTATAATAAATTGACCATTTATTTTCTATCTCTCTTCCTAGCTTTTCGGGTAATTTTCTAAAATATTTTTTTTAACTTTTTCCAGTTCTGACTGCTATGGCTAAATATTCTTTTTGCTTAAAGGTACAACATATTTCCAACTTCATAATGTTATCTGATCTAACTCAGTTAATGCTATGCTTTGAGTATAATCATTTCTTCTAGAAGGGTCCTATCTTATAAGCATTTCTTTTATAAAGTTAGTAAAATTTCATGGATTATCTCTTAGTCCTTTAAGCTGTCTAATTGTCTCCTCATATTTTCCTTTAAAAGTTAAATATATATTAAAAGCTGAATCTCTTAAAAGTGTTTTCATATATTCCCACATATCAGTTGATTCAAAGGGATTACTCATCCATGCTTTTACCGCATCTTTTTCTCATTTTTCTATTACTTCTTGCCATATCTGAGTGTCAAATCTAGCTAAATCTAAAAAAGTTCCTAGGTTATTAGCTGGTTGTAATTGTATACTCATATCTGGTGCTCTACGCTTTCCATGAAACCTATATCTTTTATTCGGATTTGCTTTATTACGTCCTGTATTGGTTAATGGGCTTCTTCCTCCTACTGCATAATGCATTGATTCTACTGGATCTTCTACCGTATGTTGTGGATTACTAGTTCATGTGCTTTCTGTTGTTTGAGTGTTCGTATAAAAAGTGTCTTTTAAATTGGATTGTTTTGGTATTCTAAATATTTTGCTAGGATGTATTTTATCTTCTATGATATCGTTTACATATTCGATATGAAATTCTTGGTCTGAAAATGACATTGCTTCATTATGGGTATCTCCTCTAGCTATATATTCATAGTATCTAGCATCTAATATTTTATTCATATCGCTTAGGGTGAAATTTTTCTAATCTATCTCATCAATATTATATATCTTATTTTGTGATCTTATTTTTTTTCTTCTGTCATTACATAAAGTTGATTTATGTCACTATGATTATCTTGATTTTCTTCCCTATCTATACTACTAAATTCATCATCTTCAGATTTTTCTAGTGCTACATACGTATATTGAGTAAATCTTACTGCATAACCTTCATCTGTTTTTTGATATAGTAAATTATCTTGTGGGGCTATCCTTTTTTGTCCTAGAAAATCTCTTAAATTCCAATCTAGTGTTGCATTATCTTCAGAATTATATTTTTTAGCTGGTAGTGCATTTATTCCTTTTGCTCCTAACATATTAACTATCTGATCATTTGAGAGTCTACAATGAGTATTACTTTCTAAGACTGCTAAGCCTAAAAATCTTGTGCAAACTAATAAATTATTTTCTCCTTTTTTCATTTTATATCCTCTACTTTTTATTCCTATATTTTATCTTTTTCTGAAAGGTTGAAGTTGGTAGTAGGAAATCTGGTGTAAAATAAACTATTCCTCATTTTGAATTCATATCTAACTCATAGCTACCTAAAATACTTTGTCCTACATCATTGAATCTATCATCATAAAGGCATACAAAAACTTTAGTTCATAAATTTTCTCTAGTTAAAGCCTTAACTCCTACTACAATTAATCCTAAGTGAGTCATTTTAAGGTGTTCATTTACAACATATTTATAACTTTCTGTATTTATTAAATTTAGCTCTATTTTTTCATCTTCTTGAGTTATACTAATCATTTGTTCACCATAGTGTTTAAATAGATATTGTTTTTTATGAATCTTTCTTAACTTATATACATATTTAGTTAGGATTAACTTTAGTTTTTCCTTTTTAAATTTTTCTATTTGTTGTTCTACGTCTATAAATTCTTCTACTTTAACGTCTTCATCCTCATTATGCTTTTTACTGCTACTTCCTTTTACTAACTGTTTAAACATTTTTATTTTCTGAGTTCTACAGGCGTGTCTCTTTAGTAATTTAAGCTTTTCGAAATATGTAGCTATATCTTCTTCGTTTATCTGAGATTAAGGTTTGTTTGTTTGTCCTTCTACACTTTTTCCTTTTTGAAGTATTAATTTTTTTTTTAAATAAGCTAAATGATTTTCTAAACTTTTTAGTAGTTCTGATAGTTCTTCAAATTTTTCACACAATCGGATTAGAAATAAAATTTTTATATTATTTTGTCTTACTGATATTTTATGTGGCTAATTTATTCCCTGCTAGTTACTGATTCCCTCTGGGTTATTATGAAAGTCTTCTGCTTATTTTAAAATAATCTAGTAGTCTCTATTAGCCTTTTTATCACTGCTTATAAATTAAGATCTTATTAGTTCTAAAATTTTTAATTTCTATTTTAAATTATCTTGAATTTGATTGATCTGTTCTATTTGTCTAGCTATTTGATTTATCTGATTATGAATTTTTTCAATTAATTGCTTAAATTGTAACTCTATTTGCTTCGAGCTATTAATATTTATGGCTGATATTAAAGTTTCTATTTCTAGTTTAGTGGGAAATTTTTCTAAATTCAACTCTAATCGTTTTTGTATAATTGAGCTACACTGATATTGGATATAATCTAATTTTTTATCTTAATTTTTAATTATATTACGAGTATTACGAAGATGGTCTATAGATGAAGTACAGAGATTACTAATTTTATCAACGTCTTTTTTAATATTTTCTACAAAATTAATCTGATGATCTATGATACTATTTAGTTAAGAATTATGTTCGCTATGGAGCTGATGTGTAAAAGTACCTTCAAAATTACAACGAATTTTATTTTTATCTATGTTAAGACGATGGTTATGATTGCTGAGTTCTAAATCTAAATATTCTACTATTAAATCTTACTTTAAAATTATTAAAAGCTACTATAATATGGAATTTATAACTAAATTTTCCAATAATAAAAACTATTCTATTTTCGTAGGTAAAATGCATGAACTAACTTAAACTGTCATAAAATCGAACACTACTCTGATACCATTTTTGGGTTGAAAGGTTAGTGGTCTACCACTATTTTGAAGTTGGGCTGACAATTATCTAATTAATTCTATAGTTATGCTAATAAATCTTCAAGCTATAGTATGGCTAGTTGTAAGGCTTCTTGTTTTATAATTATCTGTTTATTAACCAATGGAAAAATGAACCAGATAATGGAGACAATTTTTACAATCAACTCTCGGCAGCAGATCTTCAAGATCTTTCAGATAGAATGTATGGTAAAAAAAAAAAAAAAAAATCATACTGAATATGTAGATGATATTATAAAAGATAAAAATACATCATAGCAAAATATTTAGAATACAAAAACAATCTAATTTAGAAGACACTTTTTATATGAACACTACAGAAAGCACAAGAACTAGTAAACCACAATATACGGTAGAAGATTCAGTAGAACTAATGCATTATGCAGTAAGAGGAAGAAGACCATTAACCAATATAGGACGTAGTAAAGTAGATCCAAATAAAAGGTATAGGTTTCATGGAAAGCGTAGACAACCAAATATGAGTATACAATTACGGCCAGCTAAAAACCTAGGAACCCTTTTAGATTTAGCCAGATTCGACCCTCAGATATGACAAGAAGTGATAGAAAAATGGGAAAAAGATGCGGTAAAAGCATGGATGAGTAATCCCTTTGAATCAACTGATATGTGAGAATATATGAAAACACTTTTAGGAGATTCAGCTTTTAATATATATTTAACTTTTAAAAGAAAATATGAGGAGACAATTAGACAGCTTAAAGGATTATGAGATAATCCATGGAATTTTACTAGCTTTATAAAAGAAATGCTTATAGGATAGGGACCTTTCTAGAAGAAATGATTATACTCAAAGCATAACATTAACTGAGTTTGATCAGATAACATTAGGAAGTTGGAAATATGTTGTACCCTTTAGCAAAGAATATTTAGCAAGAGCAGCCAGAACTGGAAAAAGTTTTCATGAGGAAATAAGAAATAGATGTAACAACCCACATTCATGTCCTAGCCATGTTTGCATGCATTTATATGTTTTGCCATGTTAAGTTACTGTAACAACCCATATTCATATCATAGTCATATTCATGTCCATTTACATAACTTTGCCATGTTAAGTTTGCATTCATGAATCTTGTCTTGTTTTGTTTAAGTATTGCTTGCATGCTTTGTCCCTTCCCTGCTATGTTCAGCCTAGGTCATGCCAAGCCTAGGTTATGTTACGCCTAGATCATTCCAAGCCGAGGTCATCTTCAGTCCAGAATTTATCTTGGAACCCCTTTGTTTGACCTCTACCTTCGCCTTGACATATTGGCCGAGATGTCATTATCTAGGCCAAGGTGTTCATCACCAAGGCCGAGATGTGTATTATCTAGGCCGAGATGTTACCTTTGCACCTAAGTGATCTTGTCCTGGAGTGGTATGACCTAGACCGAGGTGTGGCACATCTAGGCCAAGGTGTGGCACAGCTTAGTCAAGTATTGTCCTTCCTAGCCGAGGTCATTGTCACCTTAGTTGCCGAAGCTTTGTCCTTAGTCGATGTCATCATTTTCCGGAGTGTCTTGCCGAGTAGCTTGTTAGATACACTTTGTCATAATCTTGTCTTGTCAATCTATCACCTTTTTTAGGAGAACCAACCAGCCGTTGTCACGTGTCCAAGCTGAG